ATTTTGGCCAATGACATGAGACAAAGTATATGTGAACTGCTGTATGAAAAGTGAATTTACTCTGTAAATCTTCACCCAAATCAAAATAAAATTTAAAAAAAAAAAATGAATGATCCTCTGCATAAATGGTAAATAAAGAGACAGCTGCTACATGCTTCCATGCTGAAAACATAAATAGTATTTTTGGTCTCAATAATATCACTAACAACAAATTGTTTTGCACTACATTTAACAATTGTTTATCTCTTTATCTTTAGGGCTTCTTTGAGTCCACTCACTTACACAACTTACTTATTATATTTTCCTGACCTTTTTTTTTAAAGCATTAGTAAATATAATTAATCACTTAAAGAGGCAAACTGTCCTATTCCTCAAAGTTATACCCTGAGAATAAATGTATCAGAGATTCTCAAACTTAAGTATGCATATGGATCATCTGAGATCTAGTTAAAAATGAAGATTCTGAATGAGTAGGTCTGAGGTGATCTGAGAGTCTGCATTGCCTTAATGCTCCCGTGTGATACTAGTGATGTGGGTCACATGACCACATTTTGAAAAACAAAAAATTATATTTCCATCAACTCTTTGTAAGGTAGTAAAGTCTGTATAAATAGCTAGTGGCCCAGAAGAATTATCTTCCTCTATAAACTTTTAGACCATATTTTCATAAAAATTTATATAAATTTCACAAAAATGCATTTTGAATGCCTTCCTGAATTCCAGATTATTAAATCCCAAAATCTCCACGCATCTTTAACAGTGAGGTCCACAGTCTTATTTAAGCCTGCCTAATTAACTCTTAGAAGTCTTGGTGGTGCAGTGGTAAAGCATTAAGCTGTTAACCAACAAAGGTCTGTGGTTTGAACCCACCAGCTGCTCCGTGGAAGATGTGGCAGTGTGCTCCCATAAATATTACAGCCTACTACAGGACAGTTTTACTCTGTCCTATAGGGTCCAGTCCATGTTGGAATAACAGCAAGGGTAAATAACTCTTTGATGTATTTCACAACAAAGGAATAAGTAACAATTGTTATTAAGAACTAAGATTTCTAGCATAAGAGAAAAGATCAAATTAATTTAAGATCAAATTAATTTAAACCAAATACAAGCAGTATGAACTGGTCATAATTTTCTTTAAAACACAAAACACTTATTTTCTAGCTCAGTTCCCTAAAAATGGCCTAAAAGCAATAAATACCTAATAGCAGTGAGCATGCATGGTGCCCAGACTATCCTCCTATCATTTACCATTAAAAAAGAAAAACTAGAACTGTTTGGAAAAATGGCTGATTATTGTTGTTGGTGTTATACGCCGTCGAGTCGGGCTGATTCTTACAGGTATGAAAACAGTAAGATGTATCTCAGATATCTTATGCCAGAAGCAATACACTGTCAAATACACTATCAAATGAGTATAGGAGTCAGCCTTAAGAAGTTTCTACTGGCCAAAGATGGGCTGAGTATCAAAAAGAAAGCAACTGAAAGAGTGGAGCCACAGCCCCCAAGATTTCAGATGCAGGTCTTGACCACCTCAAGTTCTGCCATTCAGGTGTACCAAGAGGATAGGGCCTCCACCTAAAGTTGACAGGGTGAGGCTGCCATGGCCAATAGGCAGAAGAATAGGGCCTGCCGGGACCAAGGAGGTGGGATCACATCTCAGATGGACTAGGATAATGGAGTCATCCAAAGATGAAAGAGCAAAATTGCCTTCCCAGCAGGGCTGGGAAGGCAGAACTAAACCCCAAGGCCAAGGAGCCTTCACCTAGAATCCAGAGTGTGTGGCCAACACCATGTGTCTGGAGTGCGTGGTCCCTGCCTACATGGTCCTGGAGAAGAGAGAATTATTTTCAAGCCTTGAGAGCAAATATAATTTGTTCTGATGGGTTGTGGACTTGCTTGGTGCCTATTATCCCTTCTAGCCCTTCAATTTCTCCCATTTGTAATGGCAAAGTCTACCTGTGCCAGTTCCACCACTGTACTTTGGAAGCAGGCAACTTTGTTGTTGGCGGCAGTTACTGCTGATTCCGACTCATGGCAATCCCACATGTGCAGAGTAGAACTCTTCCACCGAGATTTAAAGATTGCGACCTTTCAAAAGCAGATCAACAGGCCTGTCTTTTGAGGTGCCTCTGGGTGGGTCTGAACTACCAACCCTTTGGGTAGTACTCCAGTGCTTAACCATTTGTGCTACCCAGGGACTCATACTCAACCTAACTTTAGGTAAACACAAAACATGGGGGAAGGGAACAATTTACAACTTATTCTGTAAGGTCTGTTTTCCCCTGATAGGACAGCCAGATGAAGACACTGTGAAAAAGAAAACTACAGACCAGTACCTACTATGAATACAGATTTAAAATTTTCAGCAAAATACTAACAAAAAAGAGTTCAGTAACATCTGAAAAGGATTATATGTCATGACCAAATGTGATTTATCCTAAATGCAATATTGGTTCAACATCTGAAAATCAATCAATCTAATATACCATAGACTAACAGGCAAAAGTCAGATGATTATTTAAGAGACAGAAAAAATAACTTGACAAAATCTAGCACCTTTCACAACAAAAATGTTGAAAAACTAGGAACAGAAAAAACTTCCTCTAACTGATAAAGGTCATTTAAAAAAACTTACAAGAAATTTTATACTTAATGGTAAAAGACTGAATACTTCTCTGGTAGCATAGTGGCTAAGACACTTGCCTGCTAACCAGACGGCTGGCGGTTCAAATCCACCAGCCACTCCTCGGAAGGAAGGTTGGGCAATCCTACTTCCGTAGTGATACTGCCTCGGAAACCCAAGGAGGGGTCGCTATGAGTCGGGTTTGACTCGACGGCACATAACAACAACAACAACAAAATAAAGAGTAAGACAAGCCTGTCTGCTCTTGCTACTTCTATTCAATATTTTACTAGTGGTTCTAGCCAGGGCAATTAGGCAAGACAAAGAAACAAAGGCATTCAAATTAGAAAGGAAGATGTAAAATTATCTCCATATAGAGAGGCATCACCTTGCATATATAAGATCCTAAATAATTTATACACACACACACACACACAATTATAACTATGGAAATGATTCAGTAAGGTTGCAGGATATAAGATCAGTATACAAAAATCAATTATAGTTCTATATACCAACAATGAACAATCCAAAAATGAAATTAGGGAAACAATTTAATTTACAATAGCATCACACAAAGAGTAAAATATTTAGAATAAATTTAACAAAATGAGTTTAACATTTATACTCCGAAAATGAAAAACATTGCGGAAAGGAATTAAAGAAGATCTAAATAAAGGAAAACACATCCTATATTCATAGATTAGAAGATTAAATATTGTGAAAATAGTAATACTTTCCAAATTAAGTATTAGAATTTAAATTAAATTAAGAATGTAGGTAAAATTCCTATCAAAATCCCAGCTAGTTTATCTGCAGAAATTGACAAAATGATCCTAAGCAACGGAAATGCAAGATGTTATAGGTTAAATTGTGTGCCCTCAAAATATATGTTGTAAATCCTAACCTCTATGCCTGTAGTTATAATCCCATTTGGAAATGTCCTATCTTTGTTATGTTAATAAGGTAGGATCAGTGGAACATATAACTCAGGTCAATCTCTTTTGCTATATAAAAGAGATTAATTGCAAGCAAACAAAGCAGAGATTGGCAAAGAGAGATACCAAGCCACATGAAGATCATTCAGGAGCAGAAGATCAAAGAGACAAAGAGCTTCCTCCAAGGCTGACTGAGAATCTTCCCCTACAGCTGGCATCCTGAATTCAGACTTCTAGCCTCCCAATCTGTGAGAAAATAAACTTCTGTTTGTTAAAGCCCATTTGTTGTATTTTTATTATAGCAGCACTAGGTAACTAAGACATGAGGGATTCAGAATAGCCAAAACAATCTTCAAAAAGAACAAAGTTGGGA